CCCTGACCGCCTACGTGACCACTAACCGCCTATTCGTCCCCCTGTCCGCCTACTTGACCACGAACTGCCTATTCGTCCCCCTGACCGCCTACGTGACCACGAACGGCCTATTCGTCCCCCTGACCGGCTACGTGACTAAGAAAGGCCTACGCGTCCACCGCCAATCTAGGTGACGGCCCGGGGACCCGACCACTGACCACGAACTGCCCACTCGTCCCCCTGAACGCCTATGTGACCACGAACGGCCTATTCGTCCCCCTGACGGCCTATGAGACCACGTCCCGTCAAATGAGTTACGGGTGGAATGCTGTTTCACGTTTTGAAGTCATGACTGATAAAAATGCATAAAAATAATCAAATATCGATTTTACGTCAATCCCCGGGCCCCCCTGAGCGATCTGCAACCTTCAGAACCCGGGACTCCGCTGTCCACGAACAGCCTAAATTTTTGAATGGGATAAGTTGCAGGTGGGACGTCCAGATCTCAGCCTCTGGACAGAATTTGGATATGAGACCTGCGCTCCTGCGCTCCTCTGGACATGCCCTACCCATGGTGTGAATTTGGAAGAGATTGGAGAAACTTGAAAATTCGACCAAAAAAAAAAAAAACCTCAAAGGGGTACCCCTTTGAGATTTTTGGGTCAAATTTTCAAGTTTCTCCAAACTCCCTGAAATTCACTGCACTGCCTGAGCACGTCCAGAGGAGCGCAGGAGCGCAGGTTTCAGCTCCGAATTCTGTCCAGAGGCTGAGATCTGGACGTCCCACCTGCAACTTATCCCATTCAAAAATTTAGGCCGTTCGTGGACAGCGGAGTCCCGGGGTTCTGAAGGCTGCAAATCGCTCAGGGGGGCCCGGGGATTGACGTAAAATCGATATTTAATCATTTTGATTCACTTTTGTCAGTCATGACTCCAAAACGTAAAACAGCATCCCACCTGCAACTCATTTGACGGGACCTCTTTAGGCTGTTGGTGGTCAATGCACTTTTAGGTCATAATTCGTGATTGTTAACGTTTCATCACTTAAAACGTGCCGTGCAGTGCACAGGAAATACAATCAGACGTGTTGGGGTACTTTAGAGTTCACAATGATTCATAACCAGCCTTAAAATGACACGTCCACGGACAGCTTACAGGGACCCTGTCAAATAAGTTGCAGGTGGGCACAAGAGAGTCCCAATGGGACTACATATTGTGCCCACCTGCAACTTATTTGACAGGGTCCCTGTAGGCTGTCTGTGGACAGTCCATTTTTAGGCTAATAACACACGATCAATGGCTGTAGCGTACATCAGTGTGTTGTATAGTGAGGCCTGTGAGCAGTGGACCACATATAACCGCTGTGTTTATGTAATACGAGCTTTTAAGGTGCTGTCCACGAACAGCCTATAGGGACCCTGTCAAATAAGTTGCAGGTGGGTCAGCACCCCACCCGCAACTTATTTGACGGGACCTCTTTAGGCTGTTTGTGGTCAATGCATTATTAGGTCATAATTCATGATTGGTAGTGGTTTATTACTTGAAACTTGCAGCACAGTGGACAGGGCAACATGTTGGGGTACTTTACAGTTCACAATGATGCATAACCAGCCTTAAAATGACACGTCCACGGACAGCTTACAGGGACCCTGTCAAATAAGTTGCAGGTGGGCACAAGAGAGTCCCAATGGGACTACATATTGTGCCCACCTGCAACTTATATGACAGGGTCCCTGTAGGCTGTCTGTGGACAGTCCATTTTTAGGCTAATAACACACGATCAATGGCTGTACCGTACATCAGTGTGTTGTATAGTGAGGCCTGTGAGCAGTGGACCACATATAACCGCTGTGTTTATGTAATACGAGCTTTTAAGGTGCTGTCCACGAACAGCCTATAGGGACCCTGTCAAATAAGTTGCAGGTGGGACAGCACCCCACCCGCAACTTATTTGACGGGACCTCGGGACCTCAAATAAGTTGCAGGTGGGACAGCATCCCACCTGCAACTTATTTGACGGGACCTCTTTAGGCTGTTTGTGGTCAATGCATTATTAGGTCATAATTCATGATTGTTAGTGGTTTATTACTTGAAACTTGCAGCACAGTGGACAGGGGAGACAATGCAACATGTTGGGGTACTTTACAGTTCACAATGATGCATAACCAGCCTTAAAATGACACGTCCATGGACAGCTTACAGGGACCCTGTCAAATAAGTTGCAGGTGGGCACAAGAGAGTCCCAATGGGACTACATATTGTGCCCACCTGCAACTTATTTGACAGGGTCCCTGTAGGCTGTCTGTGGACAGTCCATTTTTAGGCTAATAACACACAATCAATGGCTGTACCGTGCATCAGTGTGTTGTATTGCGACGCCTGTGTGCAGTGGACACCATATGAGCACTGTATTTGTGAAATATGACCTTTTAATGTATTGTCCACAAACAGCCTATAGGGACCCTGTCAATAAGCCATAGTTGGTATGTTCTGGTGAAATAGATGAGACAGTCATAGTTTGAACAATTTTTTTATTATTATTTATTATTTAAACATGATTGAACTGCTTTAATTAAGTATATTTATAAAATCACATGATTTAAACATAATTAAGTATATTTCGAAAATCACATGATTACAGAACACAATTAAGAACAGTAAAAATAAATAAATAAATCAAAAATAAAATAATAACAATATAAAAATGTGGATTAATATAAATATAAAACTATTACATCAAATATTTAAAATATACACAGTATTAAATTAAACTATTTACAAATTAAACAATTGACTCAAGTCCAGAGTCGTGAGGTCTGTGTGCCATTGGCAAATGAAAAAAAAGGAAAGGGGAAACAAACAACAACAATTCATTAATAATAACACAACAACAAAACTTGGTTTCGTGTATGTAAACTTATGACCTATTGCTTACCTTGTGGTCGTGAAAAAAATTGTTCACGCTGTCGTTCCTCTTTTTCTATTTGTTTGAACAAATCGTCTAAGAACAATAAAAAAAACATTATTTTTGTATGTATATATTTATATATTAATGTCCTATTCATGACAACAAAGTACAAGTTTAAACAATTGTTCACCTGATACCTACCAAATGCTTGCACCTCCTGGTCAGCCTCACTTGCCATCAGTAGCTCTAGAATGAAAAAAAAAAGAAGATATTAATGTATTGTTCTTGTATAAAGAATATAGCATAATTACATGTTGATCACTTACCCAGAAAGCTGGGAGCTGTCTCCATTTCAAAATCTTCTACAATAGACACACACACACACACACACACACACACACACACACACACACACAAGACTCAATAGTTTGTTCAACATCTTGTAAAAAAAAAAGCCATATTCCCATTGCAAACAAAAAAAAAATCATTCAAAACCTACCCAGCAGTTGGAGGCATTCAGGTGGAACAGCCACAATGCTCTGAACACATGGGTGATCAGGGCTCCGTGGCTGCTCTCCTCCTTCATCCGGAGCTGACGAGATTGGAGGGTCAAGTTGTTGACCATCCCTCAGTTCTTCAAGCTGTCTCTCTGCTACCTCCTTTTCCAGTCGTCTGGTCAACAACTTGATCCTCTTTCTCTGAAAAGAGAGTTTTATTCAAAACATTTTTTGAATGAATTCAATAAAACAAGAACGCTAGTTTGAGATTATACTTACCGTCAGCTCTGGATGGCCCGATATAAAATGCCTCTCGACATTTTCATACACCACCCCGCACTCTGGGCAACCCAGGTTCCTCAACCTAATGCGGCCCCTCGCCAGTCGCAGCAGGATCCTCCTCTCCTCCCCGTTCACGATGCCATGCTGCGACCGGAGGTGATGCCGCAGGTGACGAACCTGGGCCGGGCAGAGGGGGCACGTCAGCAGCATCTTTAAAAACAAAATGGCAGCAAAATGAGTTCACACAGGTGGGCGCGGAAAGGGCCCACCTATTACTTATTTGACTGGACCTCTTTAGGCTGTCCGTGGTCAATGCATTAATAGGTCATAATTACAGGTCATGGGTTTCACAACAGGTTATAACAGGTAAAAGATATATAAATGTTTTATTATTTTTTAATTTTAAATAAAAAAAAATAAATACCTGTAACAATGGTTCCAGCCTGACCGTGGAAAGCCTATTCAGTTGTGGCTGGGATGATCCACTCCATTTACAGGCAAGTGTACATTAAATTACTTTAAATTGCACTCCATTTTTAGGTAAGTGCACAGAAAATTACTTTAAATTGCACTCCATTTTTAGGTAAGTGTACATTAAATTACTTTAAATTACACTCCATTTTTAGGTAAGTGTACATTAAATTACTTTAAATTACACTCCATTTTTAGGTAAGTGTACATTAAATTACTTTAAATTACACTCCATTTTTAGGTAAGTGTACATTAAATTACTTTAAATTGCACTCCATTTTTAGGTAAGTCTACATTAAATTACTTTAAATTACACTCCATTTTTAGGTAAGTGTACATTAAATTACTTTAAATTGCACTCCATTTTTAGGTAAGTGTACATTAAATTACTTTAAATTGCACTCAATTTTTAGGTAAGTGTACAGTAAATTACTTTAAATTGAACTCATATTATTATAACATTATATTACCTGATGTTGGACCCCATTTACAGGTAAGTGTGCATTAAATTACTTGATGTTGGACCCCATTTACAGGTAAGTGTGCATTAAATTACTCGATGTTGGACCCCATTTACAGGTAAGTGTGCATTAAATTACTCGATGTTGGACCCCATTTACAGGTAAGTGTGCATTAAATTACTCATGTTGGACCCCATTTACAGGTAAGTGTGCATTAAATTACTCGATGTTGGACCCCATTTACAGGTAAGTGTGCATTAAATTACTCGATGTTGGACCCCATTTACAGGTAAGTGTGCATTAAATTACTCGATGTTGGACCCCATTTACAGGTAAGCGTGCAGCAAATTACTTGATTTTGCACCCCATTTTCGGGTAAACGTACGGTTAGAGGCTCTGGGCATGCGAGTGGACCCCAGTCAGTCCGCACCAGACCTTCCAGCGAGCGAGTCCATCGTCCGGGCACCTGCAAAAATGCCAGCGGAAACCTGCCCACTCTGTCTGCAGTCGTACGCCCGGCTCGGGCAGCACCTGGTGGTCACCCACTGCGTCAAGAACCCGGAGGAGAGGAAGCTGCTCCTTGCCATGGAGTCGGGGCGAGTGAACGCCCGTGCAGGCCTCTGCCCGCTTCCTGCGTGCGGGAAATTCTCCAACAGGCTCGACCGCCACATCCGCACCCACTCCGAGGTCACGGCGGGGATGCAGGACGAAGCGCTCCGCTACTGCAAGAGGAGGGTGTGCCTCGAAAAGCTGACTGCCCTGAGGGCCTCCGACCCCGCTCCTCCGATGGTGTCCACCCTCGACCTGGAGCAGCAGCAGTTCATCGAGGAGGACCCGTCCAACCCCCAAGACCCAGAGACCCTGGAGGAGGAGGAGTGCGACAAGCAGGGCTGCAAGAACGTCAAGGAGCTCCTCAGGAACCAGGTGGTCGACCTGAGCAAGCAGGTCGACACCCTCAGCGAGACCCTCCGGACGGTCACCCGGAGGTATCGCATCCTGAAGAGGAGGTCGACCTCCTTGGGCTCGGTCCGAATCGGGCGGGCGGCCAAAAGGCTCCTCTCCTCCCTGGGTCCGGAGGAAGAGGAAGGCGCCCCGTGGAAGAGACGTCAAGTCTTCGCCGGAGGCCACCTCCACCCCTCAGCAGCAGCAGCAGCAGCAGCAGGCGCCCCGATCCTCGTCCGAGGAGAAGACTCCGGAGGGGGGCGAAGAAGAGAAGCCTTCCACCAGCCAGCAGCCGGAGGACCCGGGGGAGGAGCAACCCCACTACCCCGACCACGTGGGCGCGCTGAGTGAGTGTGACGCTTTCGCCCCTTTTCTCTTTTTGACCCGTGGTCGTGCTAACGCTAACGCTTTTCTCTCTCGTCCCTCTCTCTCTCTCTCTCTCTTTTGTTTTTTCTTTCGCAGACGAGATCGTGGAGGAGTACAGGCGCCACAGGGAAGGCCCGGACCCCGGCACCAAGCTGAAAGAGAACGTCGGCTGCCAGGTGTACCGGATCAAGAAATTTTTGGCGGCCATGGCGAGGGGAAAACAGAACTTGGCGGACTTCCGTTTCCTGGACGACACGGCCAGGATACACGGGTGAGTGACGCGTCCCCCGTCGCGGGCACGGCCTTTGAGCGAGCTCTGCCGCCTCTCTGACGGTTTTTGTCTCTGTTTTCGCAGCTGGGTCAGCTCCCTCCGGCGGGCGAAGATGACCGTGACCACCATACAGCACTACGTCCTGAACGTGGGATGTTTCATGCGTTTCCTGTCAGAGACCCCTCCGCAGTCCTGCCGCTTAACAAAAAAAGCCCTGGTCGGCCTCCGCAGGGAGATGGGGGCGCTCCGCAAATCTATGAAGCGGGGGGTGGCCGTCCACCAGACGCAGGTCAAGGAGGGCAAGGAGGTCAACATCATACAAAAGGCCACCCTCCGCAAGTGCAGGGAACTCGCCGCCAAGGCCATCCCGGACCTTTTGAGTGAGTGGTCTTTCGTCCCCTCCCCGCGCCTCTCGCCCGCCGGCCGACGGACCTTTGAACTTTGTGCTTTTCTCTCCTCTTTAGCCCTCCTGGAGAACGAGCCCACGCAGAAGACCCTGTGGAGGCTCTACGGGCACTTTGCGGCGCTGCTCGCCTCCGTTTACGGCCACAGAGGGGGGGTTCTCCAAAATATAACCATGCAGGAGGTTCTGGGGGCCCGCAAGTCGACCTCGGAGAAGGCGTACCTGATAAACGTGAGCGTCCGACTCTTCTCTGCCCGATTGTGTTTTTGTGTGGACTTTTTTTTTTTTAAATTGATTTTTTTTTTATTGATTGATTTATCCGTCTATTTTTATTCTTCCCCTCGTGTGTCCACAGGTGGCCAACCACAAGACGAACATGGCTTTCGGGTCGGCCCAAATCGTCTTGACGGAGGAGGAGTTCGGTTGGGTGAATCGACTCCTCCGAGTCAAAGATGAGCTTCCCGGCGGAGCCTCGGCCAAGTTCCTGTTTTTTACCTCGACCCCGAACCCATGCAAAAATCTAAATTCCTACTTCCAAGAGGCCTGGAAGTCCATGGGCCTTCCCGGGTGCCCCACCTTCACGGACGTCCGCACGTCCATCGCCAGCCACGTAAGCGTCCGTCGCCGCTTCCGGCACGCGTTTCGGAGGTCCTCCGCCGGTGGCGCCATTGGTTTTTTACTCTTCTCTGTCTCTGTTCTTCCCAGATAAAATTCACCCACTCCAACGACGACCGGGTCAAGCTGTCAAAGTTTATGTGCCACGACACAAGGACGGCGGACAAATTTTATGTGGCCAACTTGACCCCCCAGCAGGCCATGGAGCACCGGAGGCTCTTCGACACCGCCCTGGAGGGCGAAGAGAGGGGCTCCCCGTCGAAACAGCCGACCTCACTCAAACGCAAGCGGCCCGCGAAGGGGAAGGAGCCCCTCAAGAAGAAGAGGAGAGCTCCAGAGTCCTCGGACGAGGACATGACTTCGGGCAGCACGACTCCAGAGGCGACCAAGAGCCCGGAGTACCAGGAGTCGGGGACGTCCAGCCCCGACTCCAGTGGGGTGAGTTGGCTTTTTCCTTTGACCGCAGAGTTACGACATCCCTCTTGGGACATCACAACCGATGACTTACCTTGTCTTTTTGTGTGTGTGTGTGTGTGTGTGTGTGCAGCACGAGGAGGAGGAAGAGGAGGAGGCCGAGTCAGGCGCAGCGGCGGTGGGATCCCAAGAGGAGGAGGAGAAGGCCGAGTCAGGCGCAGCGGCGGTGGGATCCCAAGAGGAGGAGAAGGCCGAGTCAGGCGCAGAGGCGGTGGGATCCCCAAAAGGGGAAAAGGGGGGGAAGAGGAGACGACCACCCCAAAAAAGTACCCGCGGCGGAGAGGGAAAGCTACGGTGCTCCTGACACCTCTAAAATGTTTGTCGTCGACCCAAAGGCACGTTTCCCCACTAAAAGTTAAGAAGGCCATCTTTTCCCCCACCTCCACGACCCTCGTCGGCCTGACACGCCAAAAGGAGGTCTCCAAGAAGGTGAAGGAGGCCATAAAGAAGCGCAGGCAGCGCAAATAGACGTTAAAAACGTTGAGTTCCTGTTACGAGCGTTCGTGAGTGTTTGTTCCAAAAAAAAAAAAAAAAAAAAAAAAAAAAACTGTTCAAGTGTTCAAGTGTGTTTATTGTTAATAGTTCAAGTCAGTTAAAGTGTTGTGTTTTTTTAGAGAGTGTTTGTTCAAAAAAAAAAAAAAAAAAAAAAAAAAAAAAAACTGTTCAAGTGTGTTTATTGTTAATAGTTCAAGTCAGTTAAGTGTGTGTTTTTTTTAGAGAGTGTTTGTTAAAAAAAAAAAAAAAAAAAAAAAAAAAAACTGTTCAAGTGTTCGATTTTTTAAAGACTTTGAGTTGTTCCTTTGTTTTTTTTACCCATCACCATTTCCATTTAAATGTCACTTTTTTCCTGTATATTTGTTCAAAATAAAGTAGTTTTGTTGTTTGGAATTTTAACTTCTTGTCTGTCCTTTTTTTCCCCAAGTATTGCTTAGATAATTCAAATTTAATTAGGCGCTTTATTAAAATGGTTTAAACTGGTCAAAGTGTTAATTGATCTGTTCGTGTAATCGAAACCTGTGTAATTAGTTGTTATAACACCTATGTCTACTGACAGTGTCCCCAAACAGCCTATAGGGACCCTGTCAAATAAGTTACAGGTGGGCACAAAAGAGTCCCACCTGCAACTTATTAGACAGGGTCCCTGTAGGCTGTCTGTGGTCAGTCCATGGAGTGCTTAAAGGGACCCTGTCAAATAAGTTGCAGGTGGGACAGCACCCCACCTGCAACTTATTTGACGGGACCTCTGGGACCTCAAATAAGTTGCAGGTGGGACAGCATCCCACCTGCAACTTATTTGACGGGACCTCTTTAGGCTGTTTGTGGTCAATGCATTATTAGTTCATAATTCATGATTGTTAGTGGTTTATTACTAAAAACTTGCAGCACAGTGGACAGGGCAGTCAATGCAACATGTTGGGGTACTTAGCATTTCACGACAATGCATAACTAGCCTTACAATGACACGTCCACGGACAGCCTACAGGGGCCCTGTCAAATAAGTTGCAGGTGGGCACAAGAGAGTCCCAGTGGGACTACATATTGTGCCCACCTGCAACTTATTTGACAGGGTCCCTGTAGGCTGTCTGTGGACAGTCCATTTTTAGGCTAATAGCACACAATCAATGGCTGTACTGTACATCAGTGTGTTGCATTGTGACGCCTGTGTGCAGTGGACCACTTCTAACCGCTGTATTTATTGGAATATTAGCTTTTAATGTGCTGTCCACGAACAGCCCATAGGGACCCTGTCAAATAAGTTGCAGGTGGGACAGCACCCCACCTGCAACTTATTTGACGGGACCTCTGGGACCTCAAATAAGTTGCAGGTGGGACAGCATCCCACCTGCAACTTATTTGACGGGACCTCTTTAGGCTGTTTGTGGTCAATGCATTATTAGTTCATAATTCATGATTGTTAGTGGTTTATTACTAAAAACTTGCAGCACAGTGGACAGGGGAGACAATGCAACATGTTGGGGTACTTAGCATTTCACGACAATGCATAACTAGCCTTAAAATGACACGTCCACGGACAGCCTACAGGGACCCTGTCAAATAAGTTGCAGGTGGGATGCTGTTTTCGACTTTGAGATTTTTCGCCCGGTGAATCCTGGTAAGGAATTGGGGATTTCATCACATATGGTGAAATGCCCGATTCCTGACCAGGATTCACCGGCTGAAAATGTCAGAGTCAGAAACAGCATCCCACCTGTCACTTATTAGACAGGGTCCCTCTAGGCTGTCTGTGGACAGCATGATCTTATGCAAATTATGCACAATTAATGGTCGTAATTTACACCAGTGTGTTGCGCTGTGTCCCCCGAGTCCTGTGCAGTAGGTTTGACCACAAGTGACCACTTCATGTGTGAAATATGACCTTTTAAAGCACTGTCCACAGACAGCCTACAGGGGCCACGTAGAATAAGTTGCAGGTGGGATGCCGTTTTTGACATTTTCATGATAAAATATGATAGAAATGATAAAATGATTAAAATCAATTTTATGTTAATCTATGGACCCCCCTGGGCGATTTGCAGGCTTCAGAACCCAGGAATTCCAATTGTCCACGAACGGCCTAAATTTTTGAATGGGATAAGTTGTACGTGTCAGTGGCTCCCGCACGGCCCCCGGGGGTCCGAGGGACCCCAGACTCGACAAAACGTTGCGTCACGTGGACCCCTGCGACATACCGAGAGGGCTGGGTCGAGACAGGCCGAGTTTATTTTTGGCTATTTTTTATGCACCTCTCTGTCTCCCATTGACTTCTATGGGAGCATGTGTCTGCCAGGGTCAATTCAGCAGTCAGGATTAGAGGGCCTACTGGGCTCAGGAAGCATCCAGAGCCACGAAACTCTGGGGCCCTATCCGGGGACCCGTGGCGGTCGTCCGTGCCGAGTTTCGAGGTTCTGCGACCTTTTGGCCCCTTTGGGCGATGGTTTGTTTGACGTCCCACGTGCAACTTATCGCATGGGGCTGTTGGTGGCCAATTAGCGCGAAGAAAGGTCGTAGGGTCGCGGAACTCTAGAACCCGGCCCCGGGGCCCGTGACGAGAGCCGCGTGTCAGTTTCGGGCCCGTCGGGCGTTTCCTTCCGACCGTTTTGCTGAAACACCAGCTTAGAACCGATCTAGAACCACCAAACTCGCGACCTGGAACCGGGGGCCCCCGGACCGCCGGCGTGCCGAATTTGGGGCCGCTGCGACCTTCTGACCCCTTTTGGCCCCAGTTTGTTTGACCTCCCACGTGCAACTTATCGCATGGGGCTGTTGGTGGCCAATTAGCGCGAAAAAAGGTCGTAGGGTCGCGCAACTCTAGAACCCGTCCCAGGGGCCCGTGACGGCACGCGCACTTCGATTTCGGGCCGATCGGACCTTTCCTTCCCCCCCTCGGCGAGCACATGGTCCGATCGATGGCCGCCCTCCCTCACACACAGAAAGGCATATAGACAGAGTGAGCCAAAGGGAGGAGAATTTCGCACCGGAAAAACGCACGCTCGGGACCGATCTAGAACCCTGCGGTCCGGGATCTGGAACCCGGGGCCCCTCGACTACCAGGGCGGCGGGTTCGGAGGCGGTGCGACCTTTCGACCCCTGCGTTTCGGCCCTCCCACGTGCAACTTATTCAGTTCAAACTTCATAGGCGCTTCCAGGCCAAGGGGGTGTTCTTCTCGGGAAAACGAGACGTTTCGGGCGCGGAACTCTAGAACCCGTCTCCGGGGCCCGCGACGAGACGCGCGCGCGAGTTTGGGGCCGATCGGGCGTTTCCTTCGAACCGCGTCGCTGAAACACGCGCTTAGAACCGACGTAGAACCACCAAACTCTCGATCTAGAACCGGGGCCCCCGGGCTACCTCCGTGCCGAATTTGGGGCCGCTGCGACCTTCGGACCCCTTCCGGCCCCCGTTTGTTTGACGTCCCACGTGCAACTTATCGCATGGGGCAGTTGGTGGCCAATTAGCGCGAAAAAAGGTCAGAGGGCCGCGGAACTCTAGAACCCGTCCCGGGGGCCCGCGGCGGGACACATAAGTCGGTTTCGGAACGATCGGACCTTTCCGCCGCGCGTCCACCAAACGCCTGTGAAAATGAATGGGATAAGTTGGAAGTGTCAGTGGCCCCGGTTCGGCCCCCGGGGGTCCCTTGGGCCCCAAACACCGCGTGCCGGTTCCCCTCGGGCCCCCGAACGACATATCCGGAGGGCGCGCCTCTAGAACCCTGGGCTGTTTTTTTTTCCCAACTCTGTTCAAGTTTCTCTCAAATGCCTCTTCCACTCATAGTGCCCTCATAGACTAACATGCCCCACTGAAGGGGGAAACTCAAAACGCGCTCCGAAGCGATCTAGAACCCCGCGACCCGGGATCTAGAACCGGGGGCCCCCGGGGTGCGGCCGTGTCGAGTTTGGGCTCGCTGCGACCTTTTGACCCCTTTGGGCGACTGTTTGTTTGACGTCCCACGTGCAACTTATCGCATGGGGCTGTTGGTGGCCAATTAGCGCGAAGAAAGGTCGTAGGGTCGCGGAACTCTAGAACCCGGCCCCGGGGCCCGTGACGAGAGCCGCGTGTCAGTTTCGGGCCCGTCGGGCGTTTCCTTCCGACCGTTTTGCTGAAACACGCGCTTAGAACCGATCTAGAACCACCGAACTCGCGATCTGGAACCGGGGGCCCCCGGTCCGCCGCCGTGCCGAATTTGGGGCCGCTGCGACCTTCGGACCCCTTTTGGCGCCAGTTTGTTTGACGTCCCACGTGCAACTTATCGCATGGGGCTGTTGGTGGCCAATTAGCGCGAAAAAAGGTCGTAGGGTCGCGCAACTCTAGAACCCGTCCCAGGGGCCCGTGACGGCACGCGCACTTCGATTTCGGGCCGATCGGACCTTTCCTTCCCCCCCTCGGCGAGCACATGGTCCGATCGATGGCCGCCCTCCCTCACACACAGAAAGGCATATAGACAGACTGAGCCAAAGGGAGGAGAATTTCGCACCGGAAAAACGCACGCTCGGGACCGATCTAGAACCCTGCGGTCCGGGATCTGGAACCCGGGGCCCCTCGACTACCAGGGCGGCGGGTTCGGAGGCGGTGCGACCTTTCGACCCCTGCGTTTCGGCCCTCCCACGTGCAACTTATTCAGTTCAAACTTCATAGGCGCTTCCAGGCCAAGGGGGTGTTCTTCTCGGGAAAACGAGACGTTTCGGGCGCGGAACTCTAGAACCCGTCTCCGGGGCCCGCGACGAGACGCGCGCGCGAGTTTGGGGCCGATCGGGCGTTTCCTTCGAACCGCGTCGCTGAAACACGCGCTTAGAACCGACGTAGAACCACCAAACTCTCGATCTAGAACCGGGGGCCCCCGGGCTACCTCCGTGCCGAATTTGGGGCCGCTGCGACCTTCGGACCCCTTCCGGCCCCCGTTTGTTTGACGTCCCACGTGCAACTTATCGCATGGGGCAGTTGGTGGCCAATTAGCGCGAAAAAAGGTCAGAGG